AAAAAAAGAAATAGCAATGGAAAAAAGAAAGAAAGAAAATATTGTGGACTGCCAAAGAACAACCACACATATCTTGGATGAGGTATAGCCAGAATGCTCGTTAGAAGTTTGGGTGGCAAGACTTCATCTCCTGTACTTTGGACATGTTATCTGGAGAGATCGGTCTCTGGAAAATAACATCAGGTTTGATAGAGGAGAGAATCAGCAAAAAAGAAGCAGTCCCTCTACCAGACATGTGGCATAGGGCTGCAACAGTGGGCTCAGGCATGACGATGATGAGGGCGCTACAGGACCAGGCAGTGCTTCGTTCTGCTGTACCTCACTCAGGTCACTAGAAGTCAGGACTGACTCACCGCCACCTAGCCTCAACAATACGGTAACCTAAATTTCTATCAAGTCGACAACAAATCCCCGTCTTACCTCACCCCTTTTATAACTCCCTGTTCATTTCCCCGTGATTCTGAGAACCAGTAGCTATTGGGGAGTCCGATCTAAGGGACTGTTCTCCTAGCTCCGTACTCAGTGCTTGGCAATAAACAACTTTCTCTTTCTGAATAAATAAACAATCAGCTCAAATCTAAAGTAGCAGCAGCCAGCCAGCGGGCTTTTCCTTTACTCTCCTGCCCTCGTTTACTTCATCTTACACATCCTGGTCACAGTCACCTTTCTGAACGTGCGCCTCCTTCTGGTGCATCAAGTGAACGAGTTAGAAAATCTATGCTTTCGTCCCAACTGCTCTCCTAAGTAAGGAGCCCTGGTGACAGTCTGGTAAGTGTTGGGCTGCGAGCAGCAGAGTCAGTGGTTCAAATCCACCAGCCACTGACAGGGAGAAAGATAAGGCTGGCTGCTCCTGTAAAGATTTATGTTCTTGGAAACTACATGGAGCAAATTATACTCGGTCCTGTAGGCTATGAGTAGGAACCAACACAATGCAGTGTGTTTCTGTGCTATCTGGAAAGTTGTTAAGTCTTTTGCCAACTGGTTCCGTCTGCTCACTAGCCAGTCCTTTAAGCTAGTTTCTTTAACCTATTCTAACAAAACACCCTCATTTCCCCTTCCTCTAATATCTCCACCTTTAATTCGTCACAATTCCTTAACCTATCAGCTTGTCAATCCAAAATCTACACACTGTTCAAAGTCTAGTTCTCTGTCCACCTCTCTCATGTTGTTCCTCGGTGCTGGGAGTCAGTTCTGACTCACAGTGACCCCATGTACACGAGAGTAAAACACTGCCCAATCCTGTGCCAATCTCACAATGATTATGTTCAAGCCCAACACTGTAGTCACTGTGCCAATCCATCTTGTTGAGGGCCCATCTACTTCACCAAGCGGGATAGGTCCGTTTCCCTTACTAACCAAACCCAGAGCTGGGAACTGACTCGACTCAGAGTAGCAACCTTCCAGGACAGAGCGGAACTGCTCGCTGTCATTGTGATGGAAACGGGCTACATCTTTCTCCCAGAGCGGCAGTGGGCTTGGACCGCTAACTTGTCAGGTGGCAGCTGAGTGCTTTCCCCACTGCACTGTCAGGGCTCCATTCTGTAAGAAGGCACGAAGGTGAATAAGGCTCAAAGCACCTCTCTCGTTCTGGAAACCTAGAGCTCTGCATGCAGTCTCTACCGCTCTCTGCTATGGAGCCAATTCCAACTCACAGTGACCTCACAGGGCAGGGGAGACCGACCCGTGCTACTTACTTCCAAGTTTCTTCTACATCACCTTCCAAACTCCCTGCCGCGGAGTCAATGCTGGCTCATCCTACCCTGCAGGCTGTAACTCTGTACGGAAGCAGAAAGCCTCTTCTTTGGCCGACAAACAGCTGAAGGTTTCGAACTACTAGCCCTGTGGTTAGCAGCCCATAGCATAACCTGCTACGCAAAGACACGCTTCACTTAAATGTCTTGTATCTCCAGGTTGACAATGAAGTATACAGCATTAAACTTTTTACTTCTTTTTACTGCGGTGTAACATACACCAAGAACAGCTGCCATTCCAACCACTTTCCATGTGCAGTTCAGCGACATTCATTATATTTACCGTGCTGTACAACCATCGCCACTATCCACTTCCCACCCCACCCCTCCGCCATCAATTTCTGTATCCTTCAAGCAACAGCTCCCGTTCCCACCCACTCCTGGAAACCACTAATAAGCTCTGGTCAAACATCTATTTGCCTCTACTGGAAATTTCATTTAAGTCCCACCATCCATCACGGCAACCCTACAGGGCCAAGCAGAGCTGCCCCTTGGGGGTTCCCCTTACAGGAGCAGAAAGCCCCATCTTTCGCCACTGGAGTAGTGAAGGCGTGCAGCTGTTAACTGCAAAAGCTTCAAAAGAGACAGATGGGATGGTCTGCTTCCTGAAGCTTGTTGTTCGGTGCCATCGAATCAGTTCCACTCCAAAGGGACCCTGGACAACAGAACGAAACACGGCCTCGTCCTGTGCCATCCTCACAATTACTCCTATGCGTCAGCCCACCAGTGTAGCCACTGTGTCAGTCCGTAAAGTTAAAGACCTCTCTCTCCCTCTCTCTTCGGAAATCCCCTGGGGCAGCTACACTACCTGTGAGGTCACTGTGAGTTGGGCTAGCCTCAATAGCAACAGGTTTGCTTTGGGATTTGTCTTCTTTTTTTTTAATGGAAACACTACATTTTGTTTATATAGTCATCTGCTGATGGGCACATTTTGGCTTTTGTCAAGTCAATATTTTTTGGCACGTTTCACAAAACGCACATAAGAACTGCATAGTAAATGCCTGCTGGAGTGAGAAAACAAGTATCTGCGTCACAGGAAGGTCTCATTGCTGTCACAAGAAGCACTAAGTAAATCACATCAAAGAGATAAGAAGGGGACAGTTGTGGACATCAAATGTATGGGGCACGAGAGATGAGCACTGCGGTCCGGCAGCAGGATGACAGGCTACAGTGTGAAAGTAAGGCAACAGCTCTATTATTTTTTTTAACATGTTCTATTCTTACTAATAAATTCGATCCTCCTCTGAAAACAGTGGAAGGAGGGAAACGGAAAACCCAAATCGCTTTAAGAAAATAAATATTTCAACATCACCCAGAGTGGGACGGACAATCCCATGCCAATGTGGCCCAAGCTTGTGTGGGCTTCCCCTTAACGTCTTGTCAGCTAGCTACGGCAGCACCCGACAACCAACACTAGAGGCCTTAAAGGTCACACTGTCTTTACAAACTGATAGGAAACGATTGCCCCGTGGGTAGCACAGCTCGTTCTCGTTTACTGGTGTTTAATAATACCTGAAACCGGGGAGATTAGATAAAACCAGGTCCTCAGATCCATGAAAACCCGTAGAACATTCCCTCAGAGATGAAACGTGAGGAGGAATAAAAGCACACACACTGCAGCTGATTCTTTGTCGATGATGACAGGGCGGGACTGGGCCTATACATGCATCGAAATGGAAACTGGCAAGAGTGCAAACCACGTGTCTGAGAGACCGTGGACGGCAACTATGGGACAACGATGAGTTCCCAAGGCACCGAAAATATCAGCTGAATTATTAACCTTCATTTTTACTCTTAACAGGCCATTCTATATTTCTTCTGTCATAATAATAGACATTATGAATGCTCATGTTCAGCATTTTACAACCAACTGGAAAAGACATTTGCTTTTCCAGAACTGCCTGCTTTTGCTGCCTCCCAGTGCCCTATAGGTTGAGGTTTTAAAAATCTTGTCCTGCGGTGCTAGTTGCTACCTGCACTGAGTTTGGTCTGACAGCGCTGACTGGGCCTCACCAAAAGCAGAGAGCATCCTATTTGAACTCAGATCATGCCAAATGCCTAAATGTCCTTACAAATTCCCATTTTGCATTCCCTCCAGCAATATGGGAGAGGGCCTGTTTCACCACAGCTTTGCCAATAAAGTGCACGATCCAACATCTGCATTTTCACCCGTTGAGAGGTGAGAAATTATTCCATCGGGGAAGCGTTGATGTGCATGCCTCTAAGTTTATGTGAAATCAGCATCTTTTCACATGTTTAAGGGTTATTTCTATCTCTCTCTGAAATTGTCTGTTCATCTCGATACTGTTCTACAGGTTTTTTTTGGCAGACGGAGGGTTCTTAACCTGGGATCTATAGAGAACATGAGAAAGTATGTTCTCATTTTCATGAGTTGAAATTTAGCATTCCTTTCCACCCTGAATGTGCACCATAAACCACATGGCTCACTGCCATCGAGTTGATGCCAACTCACAGCAACCCTACAGCATAGCGTAGAACTGCCCCTCCGTGCTTCCAAGTCAACAACTCTTTCTCCCACAGAGCGGCTGGTGGTTTTGAACTGGACCTTGCAGTTAGCAGCCCAACACGTAATCTCCATGCCACCAGGGTCCCCACTAAACCACAAGTAGTATTGTTGTGTGCTGCCAAGTCGATTCCAACTCCTAAGTAGAACTGGCCCTGGATCAGGTTTCCAAGGCTGTAATCTCCCTGGGGGTAAGCACCTAGGTCTTTCGTATTGCTGTAGCTATCTTGAAACGTCACTTCCCTTATCACTGGTTTAAGTGAAGGACCTTTCGCAAGTGCTGCCACCTGTGTGACTGCAGCCTTTCTGTCTGCAGGTGCTCATGCACCGGAGCTGAGCAGCTCAGCCACCAAACAGGGGGAGTCACGTGATCTCCCCCTGGGGCCCAGGATACCTACGATATTCCCAGCCCTTCCTTATCTGCAATATTCTCTGCCAATGTACTTGAAAAGAGGTATCACTGACTCAAAAAGGCTGCCAAGTCTTCCAAATGTATTTCTAGCATGAGGGCATCAGGGCTGAATCAAGAATTGGATCTTTTCTCCCCTGCACATAAACTGTACTACAGATGTTGACCCAGCCAAGATTCAACCGACTGATCTTAAGACAAGTTCCTATGATGGAGAATTCTAGTTGCTCTTTAAGAACAGCTTATCTTTCCAGGGAAAGCAAGCTACGAATGTGTGTAATCCACCTGTGAGTGAGGATTTGCAACACTAGGAGCCACCAGAAAAGACACTTAAAGCCACTGGACACCTTGCTGCCATGCTGTCTGGTTAAAGCTGCCCACAGTTTCACATTCTTATTCAAGCAAAGCAATTGTGACTTGTCACCCTGATGTATTAAAAGGTAAAATTTAACTTACTTATGATTTAAATATATTTTTATTATTTAACATGTTGATTGAAAAAGCCATACATTACTCTCTCACATATTTGTTTTAATGTTTTGATAACTATATGTCCAAAAAAAATGGTCCCCCTGTAATCCAAGTCTTATCCTTTAGGAATTTAAAACACCACCTCACCAAAGCCTTACAGGCTTTGACTGCCTGAGGGCTCAAGGGCACAAACACAGGTAATGACCCTCGACCCCTAGACTCTCAACCAATTTGACAGCTTTACAGAAAACCAGGGTAATGACTGACTAACACTTCCTTGTGCCACAGGCTTACAACTGCTTAGCACCTCTAACTGAATACAGTGCTCAAGTGTGAGTATCCCCTAAGGCCATGGACAGAGATGATCCCATCTGATCATTGGTGGCCCCATCGGCTGGCCCAGACCTCCTGGGAGTCACTCACCTTCAGTGGTATGCACGTGGGAGCTGCCAATCTGGTCCACCAGCAGCATGAAAACGAAGCCCAGCACAAGGGACACGCCGATGTAGGCATGCAGCTCTGTGTGCTTGTGGCCCAGCTCGTGGTCGTGGGCAGCTGGGGCCGGGGCTGCTTTGTCTGATGCGATCACGTTCTGGGTTTCACTCGCTTGATGGTGTTTTCCTAGAGCAGAACAAACCAAAAAGAGAACACATCTTCCCCTGAAAATGCTTTCACACAGAACCTTCCGTCCCTTTGGAGTTCAATGTCTAGCTGACAACTGGGTCAAGATATCATCCATTCCTGGGCTGTGGTCCAGTCCATCACCAACATCTAGAATGTAAACTTCGTGATGAAAAAGGCCCCCTGTGTCTTCGGGTTTGGGCGCACACACCTTCTAAGTGCATACTGCTCTGTAAACCTGTGGTTATTGGTCTCTCTCCATCCGGAGGAGAGAAGAGTGAAGAAAATGAAAGGCACCGGGCAACAATTAGTCAGTCCAACGGACGAATGGGCTGATGGGGCACGCACACATCATTCTCCAAAACCCTGAGAGTGGCTTCCCTCCCTACGAAGAGGATCACATCAGAAGATTCTGAACAGAGCAGGAGAGAAATGTAGAACAGCACCCTCCAATGCGTGAAAGAGACGAGGCTTGTTGGCTGGATAGACGACTAGTGGGACCACCAAGACCATGGCCCTTGGTCACTCGCCCTGGTGTTAGAATAATCAACCATTCAAGATCAAAAGGGGTCCACATACTCAAGGGCAGAGAGACCGGATGGAGCAATGGACACAGGGAATAGGGAAGAAGTGGGATAGGCCGAGAATATGGAAGGGAATGAAATGGATAAGTTAAAAAACTAAAATGTGTAAAAATATAAAACCAATCATCCGCTCTGTAAGCCTTCACCTAATTCTCATGAAAAAGTTAAAAACAAAACAAGATAAAACCCAAAACCTATATTTTCTAATTCCTGAAAGTTTCTTTAAGCTATATTTTTTTCTAAGTGATTTTTATTTACTCGTTTGTTTTATTTAAGTATATAAATCTCTTGAAAAAATTATTTTTTATTACTGTGGTGAAATTCACATAACATTGATCATAGGCTCTAGTAGCATAGGAGCAGCTCCTCCTTGAAACCAGAAGACAAGCTGGCTTAACACAGAATAAAGAGAGAATGAGAAGTGGGAGGAAGAGGGGTAAGGCAGGAGAGAGAAAAGACAAAGAGAGAAGAGAAACTAGTAACGTGACTACAATTAGGAGTATTAAGAGGGGTGGAACATTTACAACTTAAGTTAAAAGCTACTACCATGGTTGAATTACCTCAAAAAATAGAGTGGAATATTAATATTTGATCTTATAAAGGGAATAATGGGGACATATGGTTTTGGCCAGGATGGAGTAAGTCCTATTCAACCTCCAACACCCACTGATTACAACTAAAAACTGCCATACAAAACACAGCAAACCACCCAAGGATCTGAACATGGAACGGTGGCTAAGGGAGTACAGGCAGCCAACACTTCAGGGGAACCTTGTCCTTCCGGCCAGCGTGAGGTGAGGGGCTGCTGAGGAATACCTGTATATGAAGCGAAGGCCGTCTTTTGTCTCCCCCCCTCTGCCCTTTATCCTCCACCCGTCTTGCCTTCAAAGCAGCCCGTCACAGAACTGCATGGCAGCAACACAGACAGCTCACACCCCAAAAAACCTCACTCTGGAAAAGTGGGCATGACTGGCCTGAAGATGCGCTGGGGTCTGGGGCGTGTATGCTGTCCTTTTCCCTGCCACCAGGGCCTGAGACCACCCAGCTCTGAGCAACGGAAATTAGAAAGAACAGACAGGGAGCTCAAACTCCTAGAGAAACCCCATCTTTCTGAACAAAGGATACAAGGGAAGGGGCCCCGGGGAGTCTGAGAGTCTGAGCTAGATACTGGGGAGTGTAGGAAACAGAAAAGTTATTCCTCAGGTTGTCCCCCCATAATGTGTGCAAAGCCTAAGGTGCAGTCTGCAAACACGTACGTGGTCAATGACTATAAACTTGGAGGTCAACTGCTTAAAACAGTGGTTCTCAACCTTCCTAATGCCTCAACCCTTTAATACAATTCCTCATGTTGTGATGACCCCCCCAACCATAAAATTATTTTCATTGCTACTTCATAACTCTAATTTTGCTACTGTTATGAATCAGGTGACCCCTGTGAAAGGGTCCTTCGACCCCCAAAGGGGTCACCACCCACAGGTTGAGAACAGCGGCTTAAAGGTTCTCTGCCTAAAGGTTGTCAGCCATCTAAGGCAATCAGACACTATTGTCTGTCCCACCCTAAGGAGGGCCCACTCCCTTCTGATAAGAATAATGGATGGTTCCCCTGAAGGAGAGTCCAAAACCACCTAGGTCTAGCCAGCTCAGGGAGGACCAAGGTTAGGCTGCCATCTGGACTCTAGAGCTCGCCATCTTGTATGTGTATGTCTTCCTGTCATATGTTTGCCTATTGTACAACCCCTTCCTGTTACACGTGTGGTTACCTATAATTAGGGGCAAAGGCCCGCCCCTAGACTGTATAGAAGCCTTGGCTGGAAACATATTCTCTCTGGGTGTACCTGGCTCCTGAAGTCATGATGGTCCCGGACATGAGCATTCACATGCTTTATCTTGTCTGACGTCTCTTTCATTTTACCCCTCAATTACACAATTGCCCTTGGACCCATTCAATTGTTGTCAGGGTTAACCAGCCCTTAACACATCATCATAGGTCTGGCAGGTGCAAATGTACAGCAATAATAAGTAAAGATTATAGTAAAGTCATAAAGAGTATGATAGAAGAGAGATTGAAATAATGGAGTCAGACACATTTCATGGTAGCAATACTCAGCTCAGCCTCACTTGGTGATCCCCGTGGAGAGAGATTTATTGCAAAACAAGGCTTTTATATTTTCTGGGGATGTGTAAGCCCCCTAATTACAGGTGAAGACATACATCACAGGAAAGGCTTGTGCTATAGGTAATACAGTAATGGGAGGGGGTGATCAAGGAAGAGGAGGGATTGGGGGTATACATGTGACAAGATGGGCGATCCTAGATTCAGGATGGCAGCCCAACTTTGGATGTCACTGAGCAGGTTTGACCTGTTTTCTGGCTCACTATAGAGACCATTATCAGTAGTGTGTAAACTCTACCCACAGGAACCAAACAGATGACTTGCAAGCCTTTGCAAGCCTCTGGCAACTGACTGCCTTCAGGGAGGATGTCTCTGAGCATCTGACCTCCCACCATAGCCCACAAAAAGCCTCTAATGTTTGGCACGTCTTCAGGGGAGACAAAGCTGGGGAAAAGTCTCTTTATAATCCCACATATTGTGGGGGCTGGTACCCCACAGGAGAGGAAGGAGCTGGCTGGGCAAAGGGCTTCTTTAATCTTGTGACTAAATTGACCATCTTGGGCACGGCATATGCCAAAGTAGTGTCACAAAGGCTATGAAGACGGAACTGAAGTTGGAATCATCACCCCAAAACCAAAAAGCTAAAACAAACCTTGAGATCTGAACCTAACCAGGTTAACCACTTAGCAAAATAAGAGATATTCCACTGAAGATGTTAACGGGACTCTGACATTTGAATCCTTACAATATCTAGGATGCCATAAAAAATCATGTGGCACACAAAGGAACAAAAAAGTTTAACCAATCATAGAGGGAAAATAACCCAACCTCAATATAACTCAGATACTAGAATACTCAAATTCTTTAAAGCAGATAAAGCTAAGCACATTTCAAATGAATTAAAAGATGCCTTCAACAGAGAAACATGAGGGTTTTTTCCTGTAAAATATTCTAAGGACTCCACCCCCCCACCCCCATAAAAACAAAAAACAAAAAGCTCCCAGAAAGAAGTTGTAGGATATGAGGCCAATATTTCAAATCATTTATATTTCTAGCTACTGGCCAAAAAACCAGAAAGTGAATCTTTGAGGCTCAGGACCAGTCTCAGGAGACAGCATAACCCACAAGGACAATGTTGCACACCTTACTTTGGCAAGAAGAGGCTGGGGTCTAAAAATCTCAGGAGCAGCCACCTAAGGTGTAACTCTTCACCCCTCTCCCTTGCTGGAGGAAAGAAGAGCGATGACAATCGAAGGCACATGGAGACAGTGAGTCCAGGGGACTAATGGGCCACACGAATCTCAGCGTGTACCCCTCAGAGCAGAGGAATGGACGGCTACCACCAACAACTGTTGGTTCTGAATAGGATCCCATTAGAAAATCCTGGATAAAATGGGAGGAAAATCTGGAACAAAACACAAACTTAAAAAACAACAAAAACAAAAACAAACCAGGCTTCAGGTCAGATAGAGATTGGTAGAACTATTAAGACTATGGCCCTTAGTCACTCTCAGGTCTGGAAATGAACTCACCCTTGGGGCTATAATTTTCAGCCAAACAAAGACCGGTCTAAAAGGGGAACACTACCAGGCAGTGAGGTAGGCACATGTCAGAAGAATCGACTAGTTGCCATCAGAAGGGTCGTATGTACCCAAGCACCCAATTCAGAAGGCTTGGGCCAGAGGAGGCAGTAGGCTTCCTTCGAGATTCACTAGTGGTGGAAACCCATGGAGTAGTTCTACTCCAGCCCAGAGGGTCTGTGAGGCGGTATCGACTCTTCAGTGTGGGGTTTGCCTCAGCAATCTGTACCATTTAGCTATTACATTTATCAAAAAAGGTCCTTGAGCCCAAATTTATTGATCAATATACTTTTTCAATTACACTGAAAATACATGTAGGATTTAGAAAATTTTGTGAATGGGCAGGCATTTAAAAAGGAACTTTCTGGGTGCCATAAACAGTGAAACACCCAGGTACTAAGTGAAAGGTTAGTGGTTTGAAGCACCCAGAGGAACTTGGAAGAAAGGCCTGGTGATTTGCTTTTGAAAACTCATAGCCATGGTAGAGGTAAGAGGAAAAAGAATGGTTCCAATGTGAAAGACTGGCATTGATGCTCTATTACATAGCCAAAATGAATGAAAGGAACCTGGTGGCACTACGGGAAGTGTTGGACTTGCTAACTGCAAGGTTGGCAGTTCAAACCCACCAGCTCTTCCTTGGGAGAAAGTTCAGGCTGTCTGATCCCATAAAGATTTAAGACCTCAGACACCCATATAGGGTGGCTATGAATCAAAATCCATTAGATGGCAGTGCGCCTGGGTTTTGGTATTCATGAACCGGGAGAGCGGCAAACTGTCCAAGCGTCCAAAATTCTCTCATAAGAACTCATCCCAGGGTAGAATTCTACATGATCTGTGCTCAGGGGGGAAAAAAATACCACAAACTTCCCCTTCCCACCTTTCATGTCAATAATACGCGTCACATGAGGCCCTTCTCTCTCACCCTCAAGAACATCTTCATAGAGTGCGTGCACGCCTTCCGGCACAATGACGGCCAGAGCAGTTCCACAGAGAAGGCCGGCGCCCAGAACAGTCACCAGCTTCAGCCGCTCCTGGAAAGAAAGCACCAGACATGGACGAAAGAGTTGGTGAGCAAATGGGGGAAAGGTCGGGAGGGTCCTAGCTGCAATCACAGCTGTGAGCTGCTTGCTTGTGAGACCAAATCCCACAATGGCCACCAACCGGGAATAACAGTTTTGCTTCATGAATCATCAATACCAGTTAAAACAAGGTGCTGCCACTTTTTAATTTGCCCGATTGGTAATGTAGCCCTGGTGTAAAAGGAGGTCTGGCAGCATAGTGGGTTATGCACAGGCAAGATCAGAGCTGTTGGTTAGAAGGGGTAAAGTTTCACGACAGAATTCATATAGGACAGCCCTTGCTACTGTCCAAGCATGAGAGGGAAAAAATGCTTCTGTACAATTTTCCTGGCCTTTTGAACCCTGGTGGCACAGTGGTTATGGGTTGGGCTGCGATCTGCAAAGCCAACAGTTCAGAACCACCAGGCAGATCCTCAGAGGCAAGAGGCGGCTTTCTGCTCCTGTAAAGAGTTATGTCTCAGAAACTCACAGGGCAGTTTACCCTCCCTTTTAGTGTCACTATGCTTCAAAACGGACTCGATGGCAGTGGATTTTTTGGTTTTACTTATCAATGCAACTTTCACAAAACTTCTTAAGAAATCCCCTACCCACACCCCATGATCATCCTGTGTCCTTTCAGAAAAATCTATAACCTTCTGAGCTGACGTCTCTCTGCCTTGGATGTAACTGGCAACAGCAGATGTGCTGAGAAGCCGCGGGTTTGCCGGGATCTTTTCGGAAGGCACCCAATGAGATGAAGACAAGAGAACTTGTCTGCAGCCGTCCACCGATGGCAGAAGCATGTCGAGCACATTTTGTTTGGAATAAACCCATAGATGTATGAACTGGAGCCATAACAGCAATACTTTTTGACTGCCTGGGATCTTGGCAGTATTACAGTGATCTTAAAAACCACAAACTAAACCAGATGCTGGTGGTTTCCAAGGTGCCAGTATGGTACTGTGTCCCGTAGGCTTGTTTATTTTTTTAAACAAACATGTTTTTTTGGGGGACACGATCCAAATAGCCTACAAGTCACACATTAAACTCTTAAGTGACTGGACATTAGTTCCAAAAACAATGAGGGTTGGTGATAGGGCAAAATTTTCAATAGCACTCATTCACAAAGGCAGAACCATGTCTACCAGATTAATATAGGCTTGAACCAGGAAAGGAGCAAGATGAAAAATGTGGAAAGAGGAAAAGTTCCTTAAGTATTGTATACACAATACAGGGGATATTGGAGTGAGACGGTCCCCAACACATTCAAATGAGTCAAGAGCAATTTTACGATTGTGGAAAACACTAAAGACAGACAGACAGCAGGGCACAGGGGCGCTACGTCCCATGTCAGGAGTGAGAGACAGAGAATGTATTTTCCAGTGGGTATATAGAATGGGGTTTACAAATCTTTCATAAAGCATGCAATTCAGGACACAAAAAACCTTTTTGCCCCAAATGTTCAGTTCTACGAAAGCAGACGTTTTTGTGTGCAACTCACAGGTGAAACCTCAGTTTACAGAACAGAACTTGACGCGTAACAGACTCTCCCTGATTACTGGTTTCAATTACACAAGCCCTGAGTGCTTGTACCCACCACCTCACTGGTTCAATACAAACGAATGCACAGATGCGGCGGTGGTGTCTCTCGATGTGTACCGGGGAACTGAGCCTAATATCCTCCCAAGCGACCTCCCTGCCACAGGGTCGATTCTGACTCAGAGCAGCCCTCCATGACAAGGGACAATTGCCCCTGTGGGTTTCCGAGACTGTAAGTCTTTACAGGAGAGAGAGCCTCATTTTTTTCCTGTGGTGTGGCTGGTAGTTTTAAACTGCTGCCCTTGCAGTCTGCAGCCCAACTTGTAACCCACAGTATCTCCAGGACTTCTCAATTCTCCTTATAGGTATAACCACATTAAGAATTTTCCATGATGCACTGATTGGGAATTTGTGATTTGGCTCACCAAAAGCCAAAACCCATTGTCATCAGGTCAGTTGTGACTCACAGTGACCTTATAGGACAACCTATTCAGTTCCAAGGCTGTACACAGAAGTAGACTGTCATCTACACCCGCCTCCCCCCAAAGTGACTGTTAGATTTGAACTGCTAGTCTTTCGGTTAGCAGCCAGTTCCTAACCACTGCATCGCCATGTGTCCATGGCGTTGGCTCAAGGTGAGACAAATTTACTAAATAGACAACGACAGTAGGACTCTATCAAGCAAACGGAGGCAGTACTGTCCTTTACCTACTTCATGCAAATATCTGACATGACGTCTATTTTTCCCCAAAGAGGTCTGGATTCCATTCAGTATTTATTCCAATAGTCAGCAAAGAGATAAAAAGACTGCCCTACAAATCTTTTATCAGCTTGACAGAGTTCTATTAGCTCTTTCATAGTAACTAATATTATGAAGGCGACACTTCTGACAAATCCACTCACTCCTCACTTCTCATTTTGGTTAGATTCCAGAAACCAGCTGGCCTTAAGTGAAAACGGAGGATGATCACACCCTATCACAACACGGAAGATGACTTTCTTCTTACACAACTACCAAGTGACATCATTACCTAACAGCCGAGCACTGAGCATCAGGGCACAGCCAAGCTGATGGATAAGCTTAACCATCACAGCAAGCTTACTGTTGCTTCACACCTTGGCCTTCCTTACTGCCCAGATGTCTATCATTAAAGCACAAAACAGCCAAGAGGCTGAGAGAGTTGACAAGTGTTAAATGTAAACATCACTACCAAGGGAAGAATACTTTCCGTTTGTATTTTAAACCTCTCTTAACTACTTGAATCATTTTAGACTCAATCTACTTTCTCTCAAGCACTAGAGATGCACCCCAGACCATGTGGAGGGCTGTCCTCATTCAGCCAACTTCCTAACCAGGGATTCAAGCTCGTGTGTCTATCAGCGCTGACAAAGTGTTGACAGGGTCTCCGCTTCGCTTACGGGAAATCACAAAAACATACATTTAAATGAAGAACTACAAACTGGAAGTGTAGCTCGAGGAGGAAATTGAGCTCCCAAAGCAATGGTTTCTGTCCGAGATGAAAGGTTGGCCCGAGAGGCAGGAACTAACTGTGCAGTGCCACCGGCCCGCTCACTGCCAATGTCACAGCTCAGCCTGCTGAGCCAGAGGGCAGACTGGGCTTTCAAGGAGAGCAACAGCACCATCAGAGCACAGCTTGGAGTCTGTCTCATCTTCTTGGCAAGGTAGTTAAGTATAATAAATACTTCTTCGTGTTTTATTCCCTTTCCCCGTCTTGCTCAGTCAATACACCATTTAGTTCAACTGAATTTAGGGCAACAATTTTTAAAGCTTTTAATATTGAAAACCATTTATCTCAATCTGCCATGTACCATGCTCATTTTAGCACAGGAAGCATTAGTTTCCTTAAAAATTTTTTTTTTAAATGTTACCTATCTTTTATAAGATTGATCCCTAAAAAAAAAGATTGATCCCTTCAATTGATCCCTTTTGAGGCATGAAGAGATACGAAGCAACTTGTTCAGGCAATAAAGACTTTCTCCATAGTCTTACAAACGCACCTGCCTCAAAGAGGGAGTTCCCAATGTCAATTTAACAAGTGGTACATGCTGCTGCCAACGAATTGTAACGGGCAATGAAGAAAACTCACATTTGAACTTTGCTCAAGACCTGATGCCAGAAGCTTTCTGGTGCTGAGGAGCAGCAGGGCGAGCCTGGACAAGTGCTGCTCCTCAGTGCCTGTCTCTATCAGAGGAGGCTGCTCCTCTGATCACATAAAAAGCCAGTTGTCATTCAGTCTCTTCCAACTCATGGTGGCCCCATTTGTGTCAGGGCGAAGGTGCACTCCACTGGGAACAGCATTCACGGTGGCCAACTCCTCAGAAGCAGACCAGCAGGGTTTTCTTTCCAGGCACCCCAGGTGAGCTCCAGCCTCCAGCTTTAGGTTAGCAGCAGCCACCACACATCCATCTGTACCGCCCTGGGACTGTGTGTCCTCACAGAGAAGTGAGGGATTAGCACACTTAACACAGTGCCCGCAGAGAACAAAGGTTATCACTTATCTCCACCATCAGCAGCACCATGCAAGCACAGCTTCGAAGGTGTTCCGTTGAAAGCAGAGCCAAACCCAGACACTTGGCTAGAATTTCAAGTGAACAGTGACACTGTATTTGCCATTTTGCCGCTGGCATAGACAATTTCCCTGTCCTAACTCATTTGGCAGGGAGCGTAACATCTTCTAGGAGGTGACAGCAGGTGCCATGGTAGTCATGCCACTTCCTCCAATCTTGGGAGACAAGGCTGATTTGTTTCCCTTTTGTATGGACGGTCTTTCCAAACAGTAAAGAAATGGAGGTCTGTGATAATATTGTTCAATAAGACTACCAAAAACCAAACAAGAGGAGCTGATAACAAGGGCTCAAGTAGAAAGCAAATGTTTTGAGGATGAGGGCAACAGAGTACAAATGTGCTTGACATAATGGATGTATGTACGGATTGTGATAAGAGTTGTATGAACCCCAAATAAAATGATTAATGGGAAAAAAAATGAAAGAAAGCAGAAAATAGTAAAAAAAGAGAGCAAATTTCAAGGACAGATATTGTATGAGACCACTATTGTAAAAAGCCAAGAATACGTTTGCACCCAGAAAGGGACACTCTTTGAAGGTTACCAGGGATGGCAGGGAGAGAGAAAGAAAATCACCAACTAGAGAGTATCAGAACAAAAACCCTCACTGCACGGAGTTCATTCCAACTCACAGTGACAGGCTACTTCCGGTGACACGGAGAAGGCAGGAACAACGGCCAACTGTGGAGAGTACTAGAACATACAAGACCCTAGGAACAAATGGTAATTGGTGAGCAGATACACTGGATTGGTATGGGAGAACACCAGTGTGCATATACAGGGATGGTTGTGGATACTGTTATATATGTATTTCTATGTGCCACCTGATACACAAGGGCGCTTTCAAAA